TATCTCTATCTTAAATACGTAATATCAGTTTCGTACGACTTTTCGTTTTTGAACTAGACTGTTCACATACACACAGACCATTTTATGGGACTTGGTTATTTGGACTCAAGGGACCTCAAAACGTGTATATCCATTGAAAATCCAGATTCGAAAATTTTCACGATCGCAATACTTTCCTTTACTATATATTACATATATAGTTAAGTGAAATTTAAAAAAACTCATAGAATAAAAGCTGTAATGTTTATAAGCACCCTTAAATTAAATAACATTGACAATATTGGAATTGTTTAAGTATTAGTCTCAGATTGACTCATAGAAACAAATATAGACCAATTAAAAAAAATAATTAAATTTCATGTTTTGTTTGGGGAGAGGAGGACATCAGCCAGAAATTCCATCCTTGAATCATCTAGTGATTTATAGCGATTAAATACACTATATTATAAAATCAATATAGTAAAATAAACTATACTTTAAAATATTAAAATAATTTATATATCTTTTAGAACCTTTAATTAGAAAATCATAATATTTTTAACGGACCCCTTTAACCTCCGGACTCAGGTACCTCTGTACCTCGGTTCCAGTAATTTGACTATGACAAGACCCGACATAAAACTTGAACCCGACTACATTAAGAGAAAATAGAAATTTACAAGCCGACATCGGAGACAAGGTATTGACCTACCAGCTCACTCTTAAGACTCAGGTAGGAAGAAGGCCCATTAGGAAGGACACTTCACTTTTATTGTCAGAGATATCACTGTTATGAAGTATTCCATTAGTTTCTGAGCTTATATCACCAAAAGATTCTTGTATATGGTTAGTTGAGCTACTCCCCACCTCTTTCTGCTTTCTAAAAAAAAAAAAAAAAATTAAAAATAAATATAATTATTAAGAATTTGGCCATTATAATTACTTTTAAAAAATTGAAATAACAATAATGATCTATAGTGACTGACGGTATGTCTACACATATGACAAATATTTGGAAAAGTGTTCAATAATGAATACTTGCAAGTAGTGTGGCAGCTAAATTTGGCAATTGTATTTCTAATGCGTAGCCATACCATAAGGATTCATTCATGGGTAGGAGGTTGGGGACTCACAGTAACTATTAAAACCTCTTGAAGTGCTAGATGTAAATATACGTGTTCGATGCCCACTATTTCTTGAATAGGGACCAAGTTCATTCCTGTTAAATGAAAAATCGAAAAATATTTCATAAAAATCTAATAATAGAATTAGAGATATTTAAGTAATTACTTTTATAAATAAATAAACTAAAAACTTTGAGACTAATACTCTATTGAAAAGGCTTACAAAACATCAGTCAATTCATTCATTTCCAAGGTATTCGATGTTAAAAATTTTTGTTTAAAATACATGTTAATAGCCAAAAATTATAATAAATAAAACACCAAACATTAAATTAAAATAAAAAAACATTTATCAATTAAAGAGGTACTAAAACCACACATTTCTAAGGAAATTAAATGAAACTGATAACCCTCCGAGGCGTCTGAAAAGAAGATGTCCACGTGATCTTCTAATATAGACATATTATTAGACTCAGGTTTAGCTCAGGTAGGAAGAAGGCACATTAGGAAGGACCGCAACCAGATAGCAGCACCTCCCAGGGGAAGGGAGGAGGGAGGAGGGAGGAAGGAAGCCTTCTCCAGAGTGGTCATTCTGTGATCTAGTGTCCGAGTGGCAATATGGAACCCATCTCTGTGCCGATCAACCACAGCAAAGAAGAGGAGGCGATGAAGCCTATCACAGGTTAGTTCAGCTTTTATAGATTTCTGGTTTGTTTCACATAGTCACCAAGTACATTTGATAGACCTAAAGTTCTTCATAAGTTTTTGTGAATTTTCATTTCATTTACAGTAACTGAATCATATCCTGATTTCAGATAGAGAAAATCAGGGGTGCCCATCCCTCCCCCCCTCCCCAAGGTCGATGGCGCAAGAACCTACCTACTCCCTCCCCATCCCGGCATATTTTATTGCTTTCCTTTTCATACAAACACAGCAAGGAAAAGTAGAATTAGAAAAATTGTAGATCATATACAATTACACTTGCTGCGGCCTGTTCCAAGTTTTCTCCTTTCCCCTTATTCTGAAACTTTTCATTCCAAAAATTGATAACCCTGTTGGTATTTGCTCCCTCAAAAATTCCAAAACCTGTCAAAATATATCCCCCTTAAAAAGTTGGATGGAGTAACTTGCGCCATAAAACCTCCTTCTGTGCGCCCCAGGAGGAATTCATCATTGTGATTTATTTTTATGATCCAGGATTTAATTTCGGGAGGCTTCAGCCCAAAAGAATTTTTTTTTTCATGTACATATAACGATAATTAATTTGAAAAAAAAAAGAAAGAAATTAACTACCTATATGAAATGGTGTTTAAGTGGTTCTTGAAGTCCTATTAAATGTAATTAAACGAACAAGAATACTTTAAGAGATAGTTTTTAATATTTTTTTCTGTAAAACATGATTATATTTTACCATTTTCGAGGGGAGGGGGGCTTCAGCCCGAAAGCTGTAGATCCGCCTGTGGTTATATTTAAATTCAACAGTTACTTTACTTATACTGTTTAAATAACTATACCCTGGGCCTATTGCAAGAAAATTGTAAATTTTCAATAAGGTCTTCTTCTTCTTCCTCCTGCGTGCCTTTCAGCATGGAGGAGCCTTCAGCCACTTCGACCATATATCTCTGCCTCTTGCCAATTCCTTCGTCTGACCTAGGGGTTTTCCTCAATCATGTGATAAATAAAATAGAATAGAATTATTATATTCTTTGAATTTTAATGTTATCAAAAATAATATACTTGTCGTCGATAGAATGCATAAAATTAATAACTATAAACTAAAATCATACTTGCAGGCTGTACCATAACTTTTAAATTATATAGATTTGTAAACGAGCTTGAAAAAAAATATATTATTTTTAAACTTGTATTAAATTTTATCTTAATTTATTTTATTCGATCGGATATGCATTTTTAAATCATAACATGAATGAAAACAAAAACTTTACAAGAGCAAATAAAAATGATAATTAGTGAAAATTTTCAGCAAAACCCTAAATTTTATTAACATTCTAAATGTCAGCTATTTCAGATAGTATGCTGGGTAAATAGAAAATTCTTTATTTTAATTACGTACGTAACATAAACGTTTATTAAAGTATAAATATTTACATTTACATGTAATTTTGAAATTTGGAATCAGAAAAATTCTTTTTCTGCTATTTTCATACCATTTGTTTTACACATGTATGTATATTAAGTAATTAAATTTTCATTTAACATTAATCCTGTAAATGAAATTTTATTTCAGAATACTTTCGGTAAAAATTTCTCATTGCTAAAAAAATTTTTAGGCGAGAGTATTAAAGGGCCTATTGCAAGTTCTTTATAATACATGAACAAATTTGATAAATTTAAAGTTTTTCTATATTGTTTATCCAAATACTTGGTCAGCGAGTGATGTTATGGAGAGATGAAAACTTTATAAATATATTTTGTAAAACCCTTGTATCAGTATAGTAAAAAACAAATAATTTTAATGAATTCATATCCTGTCATGTTAGAAATAAGTGTGGACAAGTTGGTTATAGTTTTTTTGGTTAGTAATTAATTGTAACATGTATTGAGGAAAGGTATGAAGTAAGATGACACAGGCTTAATAAACTAGTAGTTTAGAAAACCTCTAATATGTAGTCAATTTTTAAAACATACCAAAGAAGATTTTGATTGATGGTTTCTGTGATGTTAAAGAATAACCTTAAACTTTAAATAAAAAAAATCATTTGATTTAATTCATAACAGGTTTTGTTGTTGGTATTATTAATTTTTACTTTATTTGTTCGGAAAATACTCATAGGAGGTTTCTCTAAGATATCTATAAAAAAAAAATTCCTCTTGACAAATATCAGGTTAACCCAGAACTGGATTTTGGCTTTGGAAGAAAATGCGTAATATTCTACTTCACAGCTAGTTTCAGCCTCGGTTAATAGTTTATATGTTCATCCAATAATGTTTACAGCCAGTGTATTTTAAAATAAATTTGCATTCCTAATAAATATGTTTTTTTTTTTCCAAACAGAGAAGTCTGTAACAGAAGGAGAACAAAAGCTGGAATGGGGTACTACCGCAATGACTGAATATTTATTTGCACCCTTCGTACAAACATCAGGAGGTAAAGATTAATAATTTATTTTATTCCAATGAATATATTATTATTGCAATATTTTGTAAGGATATTGTAAAAAGTCCTAAGTACATTTTTAATATAGGTTAACTTTTAAAAATGATTTTGTAAAATTTATAGGTCCATGAAAACGGTACACACCCTTTTATTTATCATATATATTTACACTGACAAATAGAGAGAGGATGCATTCAGTGAGTCACCGATTTCGACTGATTTTTTCTTTGGTCATACCACATCCATATTAGACACAATAATAACATATTATCACTAAAAAACCTGTTTATTTAACATAATATCATAAGATAATTATTGATTTAGAGTTTAAAATACTACAACACATTTTGGGCCTAAAATGCTTTACAAGACCTTCAAACAAAAAGTTAAATTTTATTTTTAATCCGCTTTGATATGACTGGAACTTTTATTTTATTTTTCAACTTGAACTTTTCCGCAAGGAAATTATGAATTAAATGTTTATAGAAACTTTATTTTTTAAGAAAATTGTACTTAAAATTATACAGTTAAAGCAATTCATTTAAAAAAAAGGGTAAACAACGATAATTGTGCAGTGATTTTACCTTATCATTGTTAATAATAATGATCTGAGCCAAATGCTTAAACAATTACAATAGCTACAATAATTTGGCTACTTCAAATTGATATAAAAAAATCTGGTGTGTCCACTAACAAAACTTTCCTACCTATTTCAGAAAAGTTTTTATACCTTTAAATATGTCTATTAAGAAACAAAACAAAATTGAATTAGATTTATTTTCCTGAATATTGATCAAAAAAAAGATTTGAGTACGATTTCTTTGATAAATTAAAGCAATGTAAACCGGCTTGTAGTAAATTATTGTAAAAATTTCAATACCCTTATATTGCATCATAAACTTTTTGCCATAGCCTAATTTTGTCACACATTAATTTGTGTTAAAAGTAGAGGAAATATTGAAGCTTGTGTAATGCGGGTAAGAGATTTTCTTACTTTCACTTGGATTTCTTTTTTCTCTTATTCACTCCTTTCTGACACCAGGATATGAACAGGTAATCTTACATGTTGAATAGCTGTCACTTCACTTCGTTAGTGGATGTCCAAATGAACGATCTTAATAGAGTTTTGTAGGGAATTTCATTACCTTTCAAATAAAGAGGCTAAACATGTGTTTTTCGGACTCAGGGGGCTCTGAAAATAGTATATGCTATACCACCGCTAATACTGGTTTGATTCTGATCATTTCTTTATGTTTTGTTGGTAATTTAATTACCTTTCAAAAGTCTTATTTATAAATTTTACAATAGAATATTTTCCTGAATTTTCACGGGAATTTAGTCAATAATAATTTTAATGATGGTCAATAATAAATTAAATTGTGCAAATATTATATACTGAGATAAATCAAGTCCTGCCTAGCAAGCTACTCGATATCTGTTAAGGCCCTACCTAAGCTTATAAATTTAGTAATATGAAACCAATTTATATCATAAGAAAAGTATTTATAATAATTTATAATACATGTTCATTAATTTGTGTTTTCAGACAAAAGAAAACAATGCTCTGATTCATCAAGCGATGATGACAGTGAGGGTGATGAAGAGGAGAAAAAAAATGAGGCAAAATGGCTTCGCACACATAGAGCCAAACGTTCTTCCCAAAAGGAATGCTACGATCCCCAATTAGAAGTATACAAGAATACGTTGCTCAAAGAAATTGAGGTGAAAGAAAACAAGCTCATAATGATCATTTGGGGGAAGAAAAGAAAACAGAGAATTTTTGTACCCCAGCTTAAGAGGGAACTGAATGTATTAAACAAAATGTATCAGAAGTTGTTCAAGTAATAGTTGTCAATCATGTCTCACAATTGCTTATTTTATTCCGACAAGCTGGTAAATAATTTTTATTTCTTTAAATTATATTTTAATTATTTTGTAAATATTTATATAAATTTTATAAGATTTTTATTAATATTTTAAATCAGTCAAAGTATTCTGGTTTTTAATCTAAGAACTGAAATGTGTTGTTTTTGTTGAAGAAACCATTTGTATATTATAGATTATGTTTTAACTGATATTTATGAACAATAAATATAGTTATTGATCAATTTAAATATAAAAACATAAAATATGTATTGCTTTTATTTATTTCTAAATTAACCTTCCTTTTGAACAACAGAGGTATACACTTGTAAAGGCCCACCCCAATAATGGATATAAATGATTATTCTTTACAAATTCAATGATAAATAATCTAAGTAGCAACAAACCCTTTTTCTAGATAGTATAGGTCATTATTTACTCTATACAAATAGACCATCTGCATTATTTCTTGCATTTGTGATATTATTTTAGTTTTATGACTGACATTAAAGAAGATAGTTTCTTTAATTATATTTGTGAATTGAAGAGTATTCTTCAAAAAAGATACAGCTCCATTATACAAAATCATTAAGAATTATTATAAATAAATAAACTAACTTGAGATTGCCCTCCACTTGATATTTTGAAAAAAAAATCATCAAAGATTAGGGCTAATTCCATATACAATTTTAAAGAACAAACAGATATATTTTAAACTAAATGCTAAAAAACTTATTCATTGTTAATACAAAGTATTTATTATACACTACATCAGGATGGGAGGCGAAACAATGTGGAGAAGACCATAGAAAGTCAAATACACAACTGTTTTTATAATTCAATTTTCAATTGCACTATTTTTAACAACAGCAATGAAAGTTTTTAAAAAGAGAGGAAGCCCTCGGGAAGGACAGGCATATCTGTACATATTCTAAATACGTATGTCTACATTTAAACAAAAAAACTAGAACTTTTCATACACAAAAAAAAAAAACTAAAATCATTTTAATAATTTTGGACAAAAGAATGACATTCAGTCGAATTTTGTAAGTAAATTTTTAAAATATCAAATTTAAGTTCACAGCTCAATAACTTTCCTTTTATGTTCCTTCCTGAGGATTTTCACTTTAAATTTGGCCCGCCAATAAACTTTATAACTTTACGCCATCAGGTATACACCTCTCATCCCTTACCGGCGATCCTCTACCGATAACAGGAACACTTGTTGGTTTATGGTGGTTCTGAAACCCTTGACCCTCCCAAAGGAAATCCTTCCTAAATGTACAGGACTATATTCTATTGGCCCAATTCTATATTCAACTACTTTGCTATGACTTTTATAATCTATTTAATTTTTTTATAAATCTTTTTTGCAAATAATTAATTCGACATATCGTTGGCACCAATTAAAGTGACGAATGTGAACCTGCCCAACGTTGCAAATTCCTTACATTAACAAAGTGCCGGCGATGTATCATAGCAAACATGATTTATCTTCCAATATCTAGTTTTAAGTCGGTTCATTTACATAACTAAAATATTCAAGAAAAATAACATTTGTAGAAACATAAAATTACATACATAACATTGTAACTACATAATACACTTTGAATTTACATGCGATGTACCTGTTTCATATAATTAGCAATGATCAGGTGGACATTAGCAGATTACAAAGGGTGCTCAAGCCGTAATTTATGTATCCAGCTCAATCAATTTTAAATTTTCATTTTCACGTAGAAATACAAATGACCGATCTCTCTCTGTCGATCTTCTTAAAATTTTTTTTGTATTTGCTGCTATTATATTAATTGTTTTATTTTTTTCATGTTGGAGATCTGTATGTTAAGGAAACGTGTTTATTATAATCAATACATTTTGAAGAAAGTCTATTCAACAGACAATCAGGGTATCTACATTCTGTATACCATTAACAGAGGATGGGTCTATTTGGAGAGGGGGCAACATTATTTTTTTTTAATAACGGTAATTAAATGAACAATAACATTTTGAAGATAACATATGTATTTACAGCCACTCTGCAAAAGCCCATAAGAACAAAAACTAAAAATTTTCAGGATACAAAAAAACATCGTAATTTTTATGAGCATTATATTTTTTTTTTGTAGTCCTCAGACAAAGATGTAATGCCCTATGTAACTGTTTTGGTCGTATTTCTGTCAAATATGTTTTTAGTAATTACTTCAAACTTATAGCTTTTTAGTTACTTTAAAAAACAGGTATTAGTTAGGTAATAAAAAGCAATAAAATGTATTGTAGCAGCACCCACAACTCTGTTAATAATCATCAAACCATGACAGGAGCAAGTTCAGTTTAAAAAATCTAGAGAAACAATACTTCAAATGAAAATTTGTAAAACATTTGCCTGGGAAGCGAGTATTTGATCAGACGAATTATACATCTTATGCCTCCCACTGTAGGGGGGAGGAGGGGCGGCCCCAACGGTGAGCGTGCTTCCCATTATGAAATAGTTTACGAAAGATTAGTTTTTCATTTGGTAAATTGCATTTAATTTCGTTGAAAACATATCATTTTCGTTAAATAATATTAGTCTATCTAAAGTATATCTAAAGCATATCTCTATCTTAAATACGTAATATCAGTTTCGTACGACTTTTCGTTTTTGAACTAGACTGTTCACATACACACAGACCATTTTATGGGACTTGGTTATTTGGACTCAAGGGACCTCAAAACGTGTATATCCATTGAAAATCCAGATTCGAAAATTTTCACGATCGCATTACTTTCCTTTACTATATATTACATATATACTTAAGTGAAATTAAAAAAAACTCATAGAATAAAAGCTGTAATGTTTATAAGCACCCTTAAATTAAATAACATTGACAATATTGGGATTGTTTAAGTATTAGTCTCAGATTGACTCATAGAAACAAATATAGACCAATTAAAAAAAAAATTAAATTTCATGTTTTGTTTGGGGAGAGGAGGACATCAGCCAGAAATTCCATCCTTGAATCATCTAGTGATTTATAGCGATTAAATACACTATATTATAAAATCAATATAGTAAAATAAACTATACTTTAAAATATTAAAATAATTTATATATCTTTTAGAACCTTTAATTAGAAAATCATAATATTTTTAACGGACCCCTTTAACCTCCGGACTCAGGTACCTCTGTACCTCGGTTCCAGTAATTTGACTATGACAAGACCCGACATAAAACTTGAACCCGACTACATTAAGAGAAAATAGAAATTTACAAGCCGACATCGGAGACAAGGTATTGACCTACCAGCTCACTCTTAAGACTCAGGTAGGAAGAAGGCACATTAGGAAGGACACTTCACTTTTATTGTCAGAGATATCACTGTTATGAAGTATTCCATTAGTTTCTGAGCTTATATCACCAAAAGATTCTTGTATATGGTTAGTTGAGCTACTCCCCACCTCTTTCTGCTTTCTAAAAAAAAAAAAAAAATTGAAAATAAATATAATTATTAAGAATTTGGCCATTATAATTACTTTTAAAAAATTGAAATAACAATAATGTATCTATAGTGACCGACGGTATGTCTACACATATGACAAATATTTGGAAAAGTGTTCAATAATGAATACTGGCAAGTAGTGTGGCCGCTTAATTTGGCGTCTGTCTGTCTAATGCGTAGCCATACCATAAGGATTCATTCATGGGTAGGAGAAGGTTGGGGACTCACAGTAACTATTAAAACCTGATGAAGTGCTAGATGTAAATATACGTGTTTGATGCCCACTATTTCTTGAACAGGGACCAAGTTCTTTCCTGTTAAATGAAAAGTCGAAAAATATTTCATAAAAATCTAATAATAGAATTAGAGATATTAAACTAATTACTTTTATAAAAAAATAAACTAAAAACTTTGAGACTAATAATCTATTGAAAAGGCTTACAAAACATCAGTCAATTCATTCATTTCCAAGGTATTCGATGTTAAAAATTTTTGTTTAAAATACATGTTAATAGCCAAAAATTATAATAAATAAAACACCAAACATTAAATTAAAATAAAAAAAAGATTTATCAATTAAAGACGTACTAAAACCACACATTTCTAAGGAAATTAAATGAAACTGATAACCCTCCGAAGCGTCTGAAAAGAAGATGTCCACGTGATCTTCTAATATAGACATATTATTAGACTCAGGTTTAGCTCAGGTAGGAAGAAGGCCCATTAGGAAGGACCGCAACCAGATAGCAGCACCTACCAGGGGAAGGGAGGAGGGAGGAGGGAGGAAGGAAGATGCATCATAGCAAACATGATTTATCTTCCAATATCTAGTTTTAAGTCAGTTCATTTACATAACTAAAATATTCAAGAAAAATAACATTTGAATTTACATGCAATGTACCTGTTTCATTCAATTAAAGTGACGAATGTGAACCTGCCCAACGTTGCAAATTCGTTACATTAACAAAGTTCCGGCGATGCATCATAGCAAACATGATTTATCTTCCAATATCTAGTTTTAAGTCGGTTCATTTACATAACTAAAATATTCAAGAAAAATAACATTTGTAGAAACATAAAATTACATACATAACATTGTAACTACATAATACACTTTGAATTTACATGCGATGTACCTGTTTCATATAATTAGCAATGATCAGGTGGACACTAGCAGATTACAAAGGGTGCTCAAGCCGTAATTTATGTATCCAGCTCAATCAATTTTAAATTTTCATTTTCACGTAGAAATACAAATGACCGATCTCTCTCTGTCGATCTTCTTAAATTTTTTTTGTATTTGCTGCTATTATATTAAATGTTTTATTTTTTTCATGTTGGAGATCTGTATGTTAAGGAAACGTGTTTATTATAATCAATACATTTTGAAGAAAGTCTATTCAACAGACAATCGGGGTATCTACATTCTGTATACCATTAACAGAGGATGGGTCTATTTGGAGAGGGGGCAACATTATTTTTTTTTAATAACGGTAATTAAATGAACAATAACATTTTGAAGATAACATATGTATTTACAGCCACTCTGCAAAAGCCCATAAGAACAAATACTAATAATTTTCAGGATACAAAAAAACATCGTAATTTTTGTTTTATGAGCATTATATTTCTTTTTTTTTTTTTTTTTTTTTTTTTGTAGTCCTCAGACAAACATTTATCAATTAAAGAGGTACTAAAACCACACATTTCTAAGGAAATTAAATGAAACTGATAACCCTCCGAGGCGTCTGAAAAGAAGATGGCCACGTGATCTTCTAATATAGACATATTATTAGACTCAGGTTTAGCTCAGGTAGGAAGAAGGCCCATTAGGAAGGACCGCCACCAGATAGCAGCACCTCCCAGGGGAAGGGAGGAGGGAGGAGGGAGGAAGGAAGCCTCCTCCAGAGTGGTCATTCTGTGATCTAGTGTCCGAGTGTCAATATGGAACCCATCTCTGTGCCGATCAACCACAGCAAAGACGAAGAGGAGGCGATGAAGCCTATCACAGGTTAGTTCAGCTTTTATAGATTTCTGGTTTGTTTCACATAGTTACCAAGTACATTTGATAGACCTAAAGTTCTTCATAAGTTTTTGTGAATTTTCATTTCATTTACAGTAACTGAATCATATCCTGATTTCAGATAGAGAAAATCAGGGGTGCCCATCCCTCCCCCCCTCCACAAGGTCGATGGCGCAAGAACCTACCTACTCCCTCCCCATCCCGGCATATTTTATTGCTTTCCTTTTCATACAAACACAGCAAGGAAAAGTAGAATTAGAAAAATCGTAGATCATATACAATTACACTTGCTGCAGCCTCTTCCACATTTTCTCCTTTCCCCTTATTCTGAAACTTTTCATTCCAAAAATTGATAACCCTGTTGGGATTTGCTCCTTCAAAAATTCAAAAACCTGTCAAAATATGTCCCCCTTAAAAAGTTGGATGGCATAACTTGCGCCATAAAACCTCCTGTGCGCCCCAGGTGGAATTCATCATTGTGATTTATTTTTATGATCCAGGATTTAATTTTAGGGAGGCTTCAGCCCAAAAGATTTTTTTTTCATGTACATATAACGATAATTAATTTGAAAAAAAAAAGAAAGAAATTAACTACCTATATGAAATGGTGTTTAAGTGGTTCTTGAAGTCCTATTAAATGTAATTAAACGAACAAGAATACTTTAAGAGATAGTTTTTAATATTTTTTTCTGTAAAACATGATTATATTTTACCATTTTCGAGGGGAGGGGGGCTTCAGCCCGAAAGCTGTAGATCCGCCTGTGGTTATATTTAAATTCAACAGTTACTTTACTTATACTTTTAAATAACTTTACCTTGGGCCTATTGCAAGAAAATTGTAAATTTTCAATAAGGTCTTCTTCTTCTTCCTCCTGAGTGCCTTTCAGCATGGAGGAGCCTTCAGCCACTTCGACCACATATCTCTGCCTCTTGCCAATTCCTTCGTCTGACCTAGGGTTTTTCCTCAATCATGTGATAAATAAAATAGAATAGAATTATTATATTCTTTGAATTTTAATGTTATCAAAAATAATATACTTGTCGTCGATAGAATGCATAAAATTAATAACTATAAACTAAAATCATACTTGCAGGCTGTACCATAACTTTTAAATTATATAGATTTGTAAACGAGCTTGAAAAAAAATATATTATTTTTAAACTTGTATTAAATTTTATCTTAATTTATTTTATTCGATCGGATATGCATTTTTAAATCATAAAATGAATGAAAACAAAAACTTTACAAGAGCAAATAAAAATGATAATTAGTGAAAATTTTCAGCAAAACCCTAAATTTTATTAACATTCTAAATGTCAGCTATTTCAGATAGTATGCTGGGTAAATAGAAAATTCTTTATTTTAATTACGTACGTAACATAAACGTTTATTAAAGTATAAATATTTACATTTACATGTAATTTTGAAATTTGGAATCAGAAAAATTCTTTTTCTGCTATTTTCATACCATTTGTTTTACACATGTATGTATATTAAGTAATTAAATTTTCATTTAACATTAATCCTGTAAATGAAATTTTATTTCAGAATACTTTCGGTAAAAATTTCTCATTGCTAAAAAAATTTTTAGGCGAGAGTATTAAAGGGCCTATTGCAAGTTCTTTATAATACATGAACAAATTTGATAAATTTAAAGTTTTTCTATATTGTTTATCCAAATACTTGGTCAGCGAGTGATGTTATGGAGAGATGAAAACTTTATAAATATATTTTGTAAAACCCTTGTATCAGTATAGTAAAAAACAAATAATTTTAATGAATTCATATCCTGTCATGTTAGAAATAAGTGTGGATAACTTGGTTATAGTTTTTTTGGTTAGTAATTAATTGTAACATGTATTGAGGAAAGGTATGAAGTAAGATGACACAGGATGGTTTTCTGTGATCGTTAAAGAATAACCTTAAACTTTAAATAAAAAAAAATCATTTGATTTAATTCATAACAGGTTTTGTTGTTGGTATTATTAATTTTTACTTTATTTGTTCGGAAAATACTCATAGGAGGTTTCTCTAAGATATCTATAAAAAAAAAATTCCTCTTGACAAATATCAGGTTAACCCAGAACTGGATTTTGGCTTTGGAAGAAAATGCGTAATATTCTACTTCACAGCTAGTTTCAGCCTCGGTTAATAGTTTATATGTTCATCCAATAATGTTTACAGCCAGTGTATTTTAAAATAAATTTGCATTCCTAATAAATATGTTTTTTTTTTTCCAAACAGAGAAGTCTGTAACAGAAGGAGAACAAAAGCTGGAATGGGGTACTACCGCAATGACTGAATATTTATTTGCACCCTTCGTACAAACATCAGGAGGTAAAGATTAATAATTTATTTTATTCCAATGAATATATTATTATTGCAATATTTTGTAAGGATATTGTAAAAAGTCCTAAGTACATTTTTAATATAGGTTAACTTTTAAAAATGATTTTGTAAAATTTATAGGTCCATGAAAACGGTACACACCCTTTTATTTATCATATATATTTACACTGACAAATAGAGAGAGGATGCATTCAGTGAGTCACCGATTTCGACTGATTTTTTTCTTTGGTCATACCACATCCATATTAGACACAATAATAACATATTATCACTAAAAAACCTGTTTATTTAACATAATATCATAAGATAATTATTGATTTAGAGTTTAAAATACTACAACACATTTTGGGCCTAAAATGCTTTACAAGACCTTCAAACAAAAAGTTAAATTTTATTTTTAATCCGCTTTGATATGACTGGAACTTTTATTTTATTTTTCAACTTGAACTTTTCCGCAAGGAAATTATGAATTAAATGTTTATAGAAACTTTATTTTTTAAGAAAATTGTACTTAAAATTATACAGTTAAAGCAATTCATTTAAAAAAAAGGGTAAACAACGATAATTGTGCAGTGATTTTACCTTATCATTGTTAATAATAATGATCTGAGCCAAATGCTTAAACAATTACAATAGCTACAATAATTTGGCTACTTCAAATTGATATAAAAAAATCTGGTGTGTCCACTAACAAAACTTTCCTACCTATTTCAGAAAAGTTTTTATACCTTTAAATATGTCTATTAAGAAACAAAACAAAATTGAATTAGATTTATTTTCCTGAATATTGATCAAAAAAAAGATTTGAGTACGATTTCTTTGATAAATTAAAGCAATGTAAACCGGCTTGTAGTAAATTATTGTAAAAATTTCAATACCCTTATATTTCATCATAAACTTTTTGCCATAGCCTAATTTTGTCACACATTAATTTGTGTTAAAAGTAGAGGAAATATTGAAGCTTGTGTAATGCGGGTAAGAGATTTTCTTACTTTCACTTGGATTTCTTTTTTCTCTTATTCACCCCTTTCTGACACCAGGATATGAACACGTAATCTTACATGTTGAATAGCTGTCACTTCACTTCGTTAATGGATGTCCAAAATTAACGATTTTAATAGAGTTTTGTAGGGAATTTCATTGCCTTTCAAATAAAGAGGCTAAACATGTGTTTTTCGGACTCAGGGGGCTCTGAAAATAGTATATGCTATACCACCGCTAATACTGGTTTGATTCTGATCATTTCTTTATGTTTTGTTGGTAATTTAATTACCTTTCAAAAGTCTTATTTATAAATTTTACAATAGAATATTTTCCTGAATTTTCACGGGAATTTAGTCAATAATAATTTTAATGATGGTCAATAATAAATTAAATTGTGCAAATATTATATACTGAGATAAATCAAGTCCTGCCTAGCAAGCTACTCGATATCTGTTAAGGCCCTACCTAAGCTTATAAATTTAGTAATATGAAACCAATTTATATCATAAGAAAAGTATTTATAATAATTTATAATACATGTTCATTAATTTGTGTTTTCAGACAAAAGAAAACAATGCTCTGATTCATCAAGCGATGATGACAGTGAGGGTGATGAAGAGGAGAAAAAAAATGAGGCAAAATGGCTTCGCACACATAGAGCCAAACGTTCTTCCCAAAAGGAATGCTACGATCCCCAATTAGAAGTATACAAGAATACGTTGCTCAAAGAAATTGAGGTGAAAGAAAAAAAGCTCATAATGATCATTTGGGGGAAGAAAAGAAAACAGAGAATTTTTGTACCCCAGCTTAAGAGGGAACTGAATGTATTAAACAAAATGTATCAGAAGTTGTTCAAGTAATAGTTGTCAATCATGTCTCACAATTGCTTATTTTATTCCGACCAGCTGGTGAATAATTTTTATTTCTTTAAATTATATTTTATTTATTTTGTAAATATTTATATAAATTTTATGAGATTTTTTTTTATTATTTTAAATCATTCTAAGTATTCTAGTTTTTAATCTAAGAACTGAAATGTGTTGCTTTTGTTGAAGAACCATTTGTATATTATAGATTATGTTTTAACTGATATTTATGAACAATAAATATAGTTATTGATCAATTTAAATATAAAAACATAAAATATGTATTGCTTTTATTTATTTCTAAATTAACCTTCCTTTTGAACAACAGAGGTATACACTTGTAAAGGCCCACCCCAATAATGGATATAAATGATTATTCTTTACAAATTCAATGATAAATAATCTAAGTAGCAACAAACCCTTTTTCTAGATAGTATAGGTCATTATTTACTCTATACAAATAGACCATCTGCATTATTTCTTGCATTTGTGATATTATTTTAGTTTTATGACTGACATTAAAGAAGATAGTTTCTTTAATTATATTTGTGAATTGAAGAGTATTCTTCAAAAAAGATACAGCTCCATTATACAAAATCATTAAGAATTATTATAAATAAATAAACTAACTTGAGATTGCCCTCCACTTGTTATTTTGAAAAATAAATCATCAAAGATTAGACCTAAATCCATATACAATTTTAAAGAACAAACAGATATATTTTAAACTAAATGCTAAAAAACTTATTCATTGTTAATACAAAGTATTTATTATACACTACATCAGGATGGGAGGCGAAACAATGTGGAGAAGACCATAGAAAGTCAAATACACAACTGTTTTTATAATTCAATTTTCAATTGCACTATTTTTAACAACAGCAATGAAAGTTTTTAAAAAGAGAGGAAGCCCTCGGGAAGGACAGGCATATCTGTACATATTCTAAATACGTATGTCTTCATTTAAACAAAAAAACTAGAACTTTTCATACACAAAAAAAAAAACCAGAATCATTTTAATAACTTTGGACAAAAGAATGACATTCAGTCGAATTTTGGAAGTAAATTTTTAAAATATCAAATTGAAGTTCACAGCTCAATAACTTTCCTTTTATGTTCCTTCCTGAGAATTTTCCCTTTAAATTTGGCCCGCCAATAAACTTTATAACTTTACGCCATCAGGTATACACCTCTCATCCCTTACCAGTGATCCTCTACCGATAACAGGAACACTTGTTGGTTTATGGCAGTTCTGAAACCCTTGACCCTCCCAAAGGAAATCCTTCCTAAATGTACAGGACTATATTCTATTGGCCCAATTCTATATTCAACTACTTTGCTATGACTTTTATAATCTATTTAATTTTTTTATAAATCTTTTTTGCAAATAATTAATTCGACATATCGTTGGCACCAATTAAAGTGACGAATGTGAACCTGCCCAACGTTGCAAATTCGTTACATTAACAAAGTGCCGGCGATGCATCATAGCAAACATGATTTATCTTCCAATATCTAGTTTTAAGTCGGTTCATTTACATAACTAAAATATTCAAGAAAAATAACATTTGTAGAAACATAAAATTACATACATAACATTGTAACTACATAATACACTTTGAATTTACATGCGATGTACCTGTTTCATATAATTAGCAATGATCAGGTGGACATTAGCAGATTACAAAGGGTGCTCAAGCCGTAATTTATGTATCCAGCTCAATCAATTTTAAATTTTCATTTTCACGTAGAAATACAAATGACCGATCTCTCTCTGTCGATCTTCTTAAAATTTTTTTTGTATTTGCTGCTATTATATTAATTGTTTTATTTTTTTCATGTTGGAGATCTGTATGTTAAGGAAACGTGTTTATTATAATCAATACATTTTGAAGAAAGTCTATTCAACAGACAATCAGGGTATCTACATTCTGTATACCATTAACAGAGGATGGGTCTATTTGGAGAGGGGGCAACATTATTTTTTTTAATAACGGTAATTAAATGAACAATAACATTTTGAAGATAACATATGTATTTACAGCCACTCTGCAAAAGCCCATAAGAACAAAAACTAAAAATTTTCAGGATACAAAAAAACATCGTAATTTTTGTTTTATGAGCATTATATTTTTTTTTTTTGTAGTCCTCAGACAAAGATGTAATGCCCTATGTAACTGTTTTGGTCGTATTTCTGTCAAATATGTTTTTAGTAATTACTTCAAACTTATAGCTTTTTAGTTACTTTAAAAAACAGGTATTAGTTAGGTAATAAAAAGCAATAAAATGTATTGTAGCAGCACCCACAACTTTGTTAATAATCATCAAACCATGACAGGAGCAAGTTCAGTTTAAAAAATCTAGAGAAACAATACTTCAAATGAAAATTTGTAAAACATTTGCCTGGGAAGCGAGTATTTGATCAGACGAATTATACATCTTATGCCTCCCACTGTAGGGGGGAGGAGGGGCGGCCCCAACGGTGAGCGTGCTTCCCATTATGAAATAGTTTACGAAAGATTAGTTTTTCATTTGGTAAATTGCATTTAATTTCGTTGAAAACATATCATTTTCGTTAAATAATATTAGTCTATCTAAAGTATATCTAAAGCATATCTCTATCTTAAATACGTAATATCAGTTTCGTACGACTTTTCGTTTTTGAACTAGACTGTTCACATACACACAGACCATTTTATGGGACTTGGTTATTTGGACTCAAGGGACCTCAAAACGTGTATATCCATTGAAAATCCAGATTCGAAAATTTTCACGATCGCATTACTTTCCTTTACTATATATTACATATATAGTTAAGTGAAATTTAAAAAAACTCATAGAATAAAAGCTGTAATGTTTATAAGCACCCTTAAATTAAATAACATTGACAATATTGGGATTGTTTAAGTATTAGTCTCAGATTGACTCATAGAAACAAATATAGACCAATTAAAAAAAAAATTAAATTTCATGTTTTGTTTGGGGAGAGGAGGACATCAGCCAGAAATTCCATCCTTGAATCATCTAGTGATTTATAGCGATTAAATACACTATATTATAAAATCAATATAATAAAATAAACTATACTTTAAAATATTAAAATAATTTATATATCTTTTAGAACCTTTAATTAGAAAATCATAATATTTTTAACGGACCCCTTTAACCTCCGGACTCAGGTACCTCTGTACCTCGGTTCCAGTAATTTGACTATGACAAGACCCGACATAAAACTTGAACCCGACTACATTAAGAGAAAATAGGAATTTACAAGCCGACATCGGAGACAAGGTATTGACCTACCAGGTCACTCTTAAGACTCAGGTAGGAAGAAGGCCCATTAGGAAGGACACTTCACTTTTATTGTCAGAGATATCACTGTTATGAAGTATTCCATTAGTTTCTGAGCTTATATCACCAAAAGATTCTTGTATATGGTTAGTTGAGCTACTCCCCACCTCTTTCTGCTTTCTAAAAAAAAAAAAAAAAAAAAATGAAAATAAATATAATTATTAAGAATTTGGCCATTATAATTACTTTTAAAAAATTGAAATAACAATAATTATCTATAGTGACTAACGGTATGTCTACACATATGACAAATATTTGGAAAAGTGTTCAATAATGAATACTGGCAAGTAGTGTGGCCGCTAAATTTGGCAACTGTATTTCTAATGCGTAGCCATACCATAAGGATTCCTTCATGGGTAGGAGGTTGGGGACTCACAGTAACTATTAAAACCTCTTGAAGTGCTAGATGTAAATATACGTGTTTGATGCCCACTATTTCTTGAACAGGGACCAAGTTCTTTCCTGTTAAATGTAAAATCGAAAAATATTTCATAAAAATCTAATAATAGAATTAGAGATATTAAACTAATTACTTTTATAACTAAATAAACTAAAAACTTTGGGACTAATACTCTATTGAAAAGGCTTCCAAAACATCAGTCAATTAATTCATTTCCAAGGGATTCGATGTTAAAAATTTTTGTTTAAAATACATGTTGATAGCCAAAAATTATAATAAATAAAACACCAAACATTAAATTTAAATAAAAAAACATTTATCAATTAAAGAGGTACTAAAACCACACATTTCTAAGGAAATTAAATGAAACTGATAACCCTCCGAGGCGTCTGAAAAGAAGATGTCCGCGTGATCTTCTAATATAGACATATTATTAGACTCAGGTTTAGCTCAGGTAGGAAGAAGGCCCATTAGGAAGGACCGCAACCAGATAGCAGCACCTCCCAGGGGAAGGGAGGAGGGAGGAGGGAGGAAGGAAGCCTTCTCCAGAGTGGTCATTCTGTGATCTAGTGTCCGAGTGGCAATATGGAACCCATCTCTGTGCCGATGAACCACAGCAAAGAAGAAGAGGAGGCGATGAAGCCTATCACAGGTTAGTTCAGCTTTTATATATTTTTGGTTTGTTTCACATAGTCACCAAGTACATTTGATAGACCTAAAGTTCTTCATAAGTTTTTGTGAATTTTCATTTCATTTACAGTAACTGAATCATATCCTGATTTCAGATAGAGAAAATCAGGGGTGCCCATCCCTCCCCCCTCCCCAAGGTCGATGGCGCAAGAACCTACCTACTCCCTCCCCATCCCGGCATATTTTGTTGCTTTCCTTTTCATACAAACACAGCAAGGAAAAGTAGAATTAGAAAAATCGTAGATCATATACAATTACACTTGCTGCGGCCTCTTCCACATTTTCTCCTTTCCCCTTCTTCTGAAACTTTTCATTCCAAAAATTGATAATCATGTTGGGATTTGCCCCATTCAAAAATTCTAAAACCTGTCAAAATATGTCCCCCTTAAAAAGTTGGATGGGGTAACTTGTGCCATAAAACCTCCTTCTGTGTGCCCCAGAGGGAATTCATCATTGTGATTTATTTTTATGATCCAGGATTTAATTTTAGGGAGGCTTCAGCCCAAAAGATTTTTTTTTTTTCATGTACATGTAACGATAATTAATTTGAAAAAAAAAAAGAAATTAACTACTTATATGAAATACTGTTTAAGTGGTTCTTGAAGTCCTATTAAATGTAATTAAACGAACATGAACACTTTAAGAGATAGTTTTTAATATTTTTTTCTGTAAAACATGATTATATTTTACCATTTTCGAGGGGATGGGGGCTTCAGCCCGAAAGCTGTAGATCCGCCTGTGGTTATATTTAAATTCAACAGTTACTTTACTTATACGTTTAAATAACTATAACCTGGGCCTATTGCAAGAAAATTGTAAATTTTCAATAAGGTCTTCTTCTTCTTCATCCTGCGTGCCTTTCAGCATGGAGGAGCCTTCAGCCACTTCGACCACATATCTCTGCCTCTTGCCAATTCCTTCGTCAGACCTAGGGTTTTTTCTCAATCATGTGATAAATAAAATAGAATAGAATTATTATATTCTTTGAATTTTAATGTTATCAAAAATAATATACTTGTCGTCGATAGAATGCATAAAATTAATAACTATAAACTAAAATCATACTTGCAGGCTGTACCATAACTTTTAAATTATATAGATTTGTAAACGAGCTTGAAAAAAAATATATTATTTTTAAACTTGTATTAAATTTTATCTTAATTTATTTTATTCGATCGGATATGCATTTTTAAATCATAACATGAATGAAAACAAAAACTTTACAAGAGCAAATAAAAATGATAATTAGTGAAAATTTTCAGCAAAATCCTAAATTTTATTAACATTCTAAATGTCAGCTATTTCAGATAGTATGCTGGGTAGATAGAAAATTCTTTATTTAAATTACGTACGTAACATAAACGTTTATTAAAGTATAAATATTTACATTTACATGTAATTTTGAAATTTGGAATCAGAAAAATTCTTTTTCTGCTATTTTCATACCATTTGTTTTACACATGTATGTATATTAAGTAATTAAATTTTCAATTAACATTAATCGTGTAAATGAAATTTTATTTCAGAATACTTTCGGTAAAAATTTCTCATTGCTAAAAAAATTTTTAGGCGAGAGTATTAAAGGGCCTATTGCAAGTTCTTTATAATACATGAACAAATTTGATAAATTTAAAGTTTTTCTATATTGTTTATCCAAATACTTGGTCAGCGAGTGATGTTATGGAGAGATGAAAACTTTATAAATATATTTTGTAAAACCCTTGTATCAGTATAGTAAAAAACAAATAATTTTAATGAATTCATATCCTGTCATGTTAGAAATAAGTGTGGACAAGTTGGTTTTAGTTTTTTTGGTTAGTAATTAATTGTAACATGTATTGAGGAAAGGTATGAAGTAAGATGACACAGGCTTAATAAACTAGTAGTTTAGAAAAACCTCTAATATGTAGTCAAATTTTTTAAAACATACCAAAGAAGATTTTGATTGATGGTTTTCTGTGATGGTTAAAGAATAACCTTACACTTTAAATAAAAAAAATCATTTGATTTAATACATAACAGGTTTTGTTGTTGGTATTATCAATTTTTACTTTATTTGTTCGGAAAAAAAAATTAAAGATACTCATAGGAGGTTTCTCTAAGATATCTATAAAAAAAAAATTCCTCTTGACAAATATCAGGTTAACCCAGAACTGGATTTTGGCTTTGGAAGAAAATGCGTAATATTCTACTGCACAGCTAGTTTCAGCCTCGGTTAATAGTTTATATGTTCATCCAATAATGTTTACAGCCAGTGTATTTTAAAATAAATTTGCATTCCTAATAAATATGTTTGTTTTTTTTCCAAACAGAGAAGTCTGTAACAGAAGGAGAACAAAAGCTGGAATGGGGTACTACCGCAATGACTGAATATTTATTTGCACCCTTCGTACAACCATCAGGAGGTAAAGATTAATAATTTATTTTATTCCAATGAATATATTATTATTGCAATATTTTGTGAGGATATTGTAAAAAGTCATAAGTACATTTTTAATATAGGTTAACTTTTAAAAATGATTTTGTAGAATTCATAGGTCCATGAAAACGGTACGCACCCTTTTATTTATCATATATATTTACACTGACAAATAGAGAGAGGATGCATTCAGTGAGTCACCGATTTCGACTGATTTTTTTCTTTGCTCATACCACATCCATATTAGACACAATAATAACATATTATCACTAAAAAACCTGTTTATTTAACATAATATCATAAGATAATTATTGATTTAGAGTTTAAAATACTACAACACATTTTGGGCCTAAAATGCTTTGCAAGACAATAACAATTTGAATGATGGTCAATAATAAATTATATTGTGCAGATATTATATACTGAGATAAATCATACTTGAGATAAATCAAGTCCTGCCTAGCAAGCTACTCGATATCTGTTAAGGCCCTACCTAAGCTTATAAATTTAGTAATATGAAACCAATTTATATCATAAGAAAAGTATTTATAATAATTTATAATACATGTTCATTAATTTGTGTTTTCAGACAAAAGAAAACAATGCTCTGATTCATCAAGCGATGATGACAGTGAGGGTGATGAAGAGGAGAAAAAAAATGAGGCAAAATGGCTTCGCACACATAGAGCCAAACGTTCTTCCCAAAAGGAATGCTGCGATCCCCTATTAGAAGTATACAAGAATACGTTGCTCAAAGAAATTGAGATGAAAGAAAAAAAGCTCATAATGATCATTTGGGGGAAGAAAAGAAAACAGAGAATTTTTGTACCCCAGCTTAAGAGGGAACTGAATGTATTAAACAAAATGTATCAGAAGTTGTTCAAGTAATAGTTGTCAATCATGTCTCACAATTGCTTATTTTATTCCGACCAGCTGGTGAATAATTTTTATTTCTTTAAATTATATTTTATTTATTTTGTAAATATTTATATAAATTTTATGAGATTTTTTTTTATTATTTTAAATCATTCTAAGTATTCTAGTTTTTAATCTAAGAACTGAAATGTGTTGCTTTTGTTGAAGAACCATTTGTATATTATAGATTATGTTTTAACTGATATGTATGAACAATAAATATAGTTATTGATCAATTTAAATATAAAAACATAAAATACGTATTGCTTTTATTTATTTCTAAATTAACCTTCCTTTTGAACAACAGAGGTACACACTTGTAAAGGCCCACCCCAATAATGGATATAAATGATTATTCTTTACAAATTCAATGATAAATAATCTAAGTAGCAACAAACCCTTTTTCTAGATAGTATAGGTCATTATTTACTCTATACAAATAGACCATCTGCATTATTTCTTGCATTTGTGATATTATTTTAGTTTTATGACTGACATTGAAGAAGATAGTTTCTTTAATTATATTTGTGAATTGAAGAGTATTCTTCAAAAAAGATACAGCTCCATTATACAAAATCATTAAGAATTATTATAAATAAATAAACTAACTTGAGATTGCCCTCCACTTGTTATTTTGAAAAATAAATCATCAAAGATTAGGGCTAATTCTATATACAATTTTAAAGAACAAACAGATATATTTAAAACTAAATGCTAAAAACTCATTCATTGTTAATACAAAGTATTTATTATACACTATATCAGGATGGGAGGCGAAACAATATGGAGAAGACCATAGAAAGTCAAATACAAAACTGTTTTTATAATTCAATTTTCAATTGCACTATTTTTAACAACAGCAATGAAAGTTTTTAAAAAGAGAGGAAGCCCTCGGGAAGGACAGGCATATCTGTACATATTCTAAATACGTATGTCTACATTTAAACAAAAAAACTAGAACTTTTCACACACAAAAAAAAAAAAAACTAGAAACATTTTAATAACTTTGGACAAAAGAATGACATTCAGGCGAATTTTGGAAGTAAATTTTTAAAATATCAAATTTAAGTTCACAGCTCAATAACTTTCCTTTTATGTTCCTTTCTGAGGATTTTCCCTTTAAATTTGGCCCGCCAATAAACTTTATAACTTTATGCCATCAGATATACACCTCTCATCCCTTACGGCGATCCTCTACCGATAACAGGAACACTTGTTGGTTTATGGTGGTTCTGAAACCCTTGACCCTCCCAAAGGAAATCCTTCCTAAATGCACAGGACAATATTCTATTGGCCCAATTCTATATTCAACTACTTTGCTATGACTTTTATAATCTATTTAATTTTTTTATAAATCTTTTTTGCAAATAATTAATTCGACATATCGTTGGCACCAATTAAAGTGACGTATGTGAACCTGCCCAACGTTGCAAATTCCTTACATTAACAAAGTGCCGGCGATGTATCATAGCAAACATGATTTATCTTCCAATATCTAGTTTTAAGTCGGTTCATTTACATAGCTAAAATATTCAAGAAAAATAACATTTCTAGAAACATAAAATTACATATATAACATTGTAACTACATAATACACTTTGAATTTACATGCGATGTACCTGTTTCATATAATTAGCAATGATCAGGTGGACATTAGCAGATTACAAAGGGTGCTCAAGCCGTAATTTATGTATCCAGCTCAATCAATTTTAAATTTTCATTTTCACGTAGAAAAAGAAATGACCGATCTCTCTCTGTCGATCTTCTTAAATTTTTTTTGTATTTGCTGCTATTATATTAAATGTTTTATTTTTTTCATGTTGGAGATCTGTATGTTAAGGAAACGTGTTTATTATAATCAATACATTTTGAAGAAAGTCTATTCAACAGACAATCGGGGTATCTACATTCTGTATACCATTAACAGAGGATGGGTCTATTTGGAGAGGGGGCAACATTATTTTTTTTTAATAACGGTAATTAAATGAACAATAACATTTTGAAGATAACATATGTATTTACAGCCACTCTGCAAAAGCCCATAAGAACAAAAACTAAAAATTTTCAGGATACAAAAAAACATCGTAATTTTTGTTTTATGAGCATTATATTTTTTTTTTGTAGTCCTCAGACAAAGATGTTATGCCCTATGTAACTGTTTTGGTCGTATTTCTGTCAAATATGTTTTTAGTAATTACTTCAAACTTATGGCTTTTTAGTTACTTTAAAAAACAGGTATTAGTTAGGTAATAAAAAGCAATAAAATGTATTGTAGCAGCACCCACAACTTTGTTAATAATCATCAAACCATGACAGGAGCAAGTTCAGTTTAAAAAATCTAGAGAAACAATACTTCAAATGAAAATTTGTAAAACATTTGCCTGGGAAGCGAGTATTTGATCAGACGAATTATACATCTTATGCCTCCCACTGTAGGGGGGAGGAGGGGCGGCCCCAACGGTGAGCGTGCTTCCCATTATGAAGTAGTTTATGAAAGATTAGTTTTTCATTTGGTAAATTTCATTTAATTTCGTTGAAAACATATCATTTTCGTTAAATAATATTAGTCTATCTAAAGCATATTTCTATCTTAAATACGTAATATCAGTTTCGTACGACTTTTCGTTTTTGAACTAGACTGTTCACATACACACAGACCATTTTATGGGACTTGGTTATTTGGACTCAAGGGACCTCAAAACGTGTATATCCATTGAAAATCCAGATTCGAAAATTTTCACGATCGCATTACTTTCCTTTACTATATATTACATATATAGTTAAGTGAAATTTAAAAAAACTCATAGAATAAAGCTGTAATGTTTATAAGCACCCTTAAATTAAATAACATTGACAATATTGGGATTGTTTAAGTATTAGTCTCAGATTGACTCATAGAAACAAATATAGACCAATTAAAAAAAAAATTAAATTTCATGTTTTGTTTGGGGAGAGGAGGACATCAGCCAGAAATTCCATCCTTGAATCATCTAGTGATTTATAGCGATTAAATACACTATATTATAAAATCAATATAGTAAAATAAACTATACTTTAAAATATTAAAATAATTTATATATCTTTTAGAACCTTTAATTAGAAAATCATAATATTTTTAACGGACCCCTTTAACCTCCGGACTCAGGTACCTCTGTACCTCGGTTCCAGTAATTTGACTATGACAAGACCCGACATAAAACTTGAACCCGACTACATTAAGAGAAAATAGAAATTTACAAGCCGACATCGGAGACAAGGTATTGACCTACCAGGTCACTCTTAAGACTCAGGTAGGAAGAAGGCCCATTAGGAAGGACACTTCACTTTTATTGTCAGAGATATCACTGTTATGAAGTATTCCATTATTTTCTGAGCTTATATCACCAAAAGATTCTTGTATATGGTTAGTTGAGCTACTCCCCACCTCTTTCTGCTTTCTAAAAAAAAAAAAAAAATTAAAAATTAATATAATTATTAAGAATTTGGCCATTATAATTACTTTTAAAAAATTGAAATAACAATAATTATGTATAGTGATGTATGTGACTGACGGTATGTCTACACATATGACAAATATTTGGAAAAGTGTTCAATAATGAATACTGGCAAGTAGTGTGGCCGCTTAATTTGGCGTCTGTCTGTCTAATGCGTAGCCATACCATAAGGATTCATTCATGGGTAGGAGGTTGGGGACTCACAGTAACTATTAAAACCTCTTGAAGTGCTAGATGTAAATATACGTGTTTGATGCCCACTATTTCTTGAACAGGGACCAAGTTCTTTCCTGTTAAATGAAAAATCGAAAAATATTTCATAAAAATCTAATAATAGAATTAGAGATATTAAACTAATTACTTTTATAAATAAATAAACTAAAAACTTTGAGACTAATACTCTATTGAAAAGGCTTACAAAACATCAGTCAATTCATTCATTTCCAAGGTATTCGATGTTAAAAATTTTTGTTTAAAATACATGTTAATAGCCAAAAATTATAATAAATAAAACACCAAACATTAAATTAAAATAAAAAAACATTAATCAATTAAAGAGGTACTAAAACCACACATTTCTAAGGAAATTAAATGAAACTGATAACCCTCCGAAGCGTCTGAAAAGAAGATGTCCACGTGATCTTCTAATATAGACATATTATTAGACTCAGGTTTAGCTCAGGTAGGAAGAAGGCACATTAGGAAGGACCGCAACCAGATAGCAGCACCTCCCAGGGGAAGGGAGGAGGGAGGAGGGAGGAAGGAAGCCTTCTCCAGAGTGGTCATTCTGTGATCTAGTGTCCGAGTGGCAATATGGAACCCATCTCTGTGCCGATCAACCACAGCAAAGAAGAGGAGGCGATGAAGCCTATCACAGGTTAGTTCAGCTTTTATAGATTTCTGGTTTGTTTCACATAGTCACCAAGTACATTTGATAGACCTAAAGTTCTTCATAAGTTTTTGTGAATTTTCATTTCATTTACAGTAACTGAATCATATCCTGATTTCAGATAGAGAAAATCAGGGGTGCCCATCCCTCCCCCCTCCCCAAGGTCGATGGCGCAAGAACCTACCTACTCCCTCCCCATCCCGGCATATTTTATTGCTTTCCTTTTCATACAAACACAGCAAGGAAAAGTAGAATTAGGAAAATCGTAGATCATATACAATTACACTTGCTGCGGCCTCTTCCACATTTTCTCCTTTCCCCTTATTCTGAAACTTTTCATTCCAAAAATTGATAACCCTGTTGGGATTTGCCCCTTCAAAAATTCAAAAACCTGTCAAAATATGTACCCCTTAAAAAGTTGGATGGCGTAAATTGCGCCATAAAACCTCCTTCTGTGTGCCCTAGAGGGAATTCATCATTGTGATTTATTTTTACGATCCAGGATTTAATTTTAGGGAGGCTTCAGCCCAAAAGAATTTTTTTTTTCATGTACATATAACGATAATTAATTTGAAAAAAAAAAAAGAAAGAAATTAACTACCTATATGAAATGGTGTTTAAGTGGTTCTTGAAGTCCTACTAAATGTAATTAAAGGAACAAGAATACTTTAAGAGATAGTTTTTAATATTTTTTTTCTGTAAAACATGATTATATTTTACCATTTTCGAGGGGAGGGGGGCTTCAGCCCGAAAGCTGTAGATCCGCCTGTGGTTATATTTAAATTCAACAGTTACTTTACTTATACGTTTAAATAACTATAACCTGGGCCTATTGCAAGAAAATTGTAAATTTTCAATAAGGTCTTCTTCTTCTTCCTCTTGCGTGCCTTTCAGCATGGAGGAGCCTTCAGCCACTTCGACCACATATCTCTGCCTCTTGCCAATTCCTTCGTCTGACCTAGGGTTTTTCCTCAATCATGTGATAAATAAAATAGAATAGAATTATTATATTCTTTGAATTTTAATGTTATCAAAAATAATATACTTGTCGTCGATAGAATGCATAAAATTAATAACTATAAACTAAAATCATACTTGCAGGCTGTACCATAACTTTTAAATTATATAGATTTGTAAACGAGCTTGAAAAAAAATATATTATTTTTAAACTTGTATTAAATTTTATCTTAATTTATTTTATTCGATCGGATATGCATTTTTAAATCATAACATGAATGAAAACAAAAACTTTACAAGAGCAAATAAAAATGATAATTAGTGAAAATTTTCAGCAAAACCCTAAATTTTATTAACATTCTAAATGTCAGCTATTTCAGATAGTATGCTGGGTAAATAGAAAATTCTTTATTTTAATTACGTACGTAACATAAACGTTTATTAAAGTATAAATATTTACATTTACATGTAATTTTGAAATTTGGAATCAGAAAAATTCTTTTTCTGCTATTTTCATACCATTTGTTTTACACATGTATGTATATTAAGTAATTAAATTTTCAATTAACATTAATCCTGTAAATGAAATTTTATTTCAGAATACTTTCGGTAAAAATTTCTCATTGCTAAAAAAATTTTTAGGCGAGAGTATTAAAGGGCCTATTGCAAGTTCTTTATAATACATGAACAAATTTGATAAATTTAAAGTTTTTCTATATTGTTTATCCAAATACTTGGTCAGCGAGTGATGTTATGGAGAGATGAAAACTTTATAAATATATTTTGTAAAACCCTTGTATCAGTATAGTAAAAAACAAATAATTTTAATGAATTCATATCCTGTCATGTTAGAAATAAGTGTGGACAAGTTGGTTTTAGTTTTTTTGGTTAGTAATTAATTGTAACATGTATTGAGGAAAGGTATGAAGTAAGATGACACAGGCTTAATAAACTAGTAGTTTAGAAAAACCTCTAATATGTAGTCAAATTTTTTAAAACATACCAAAGAAGATTTTGATTGATGGTTTTCTGTGATGGTTAAAGAATAACCTTACACTTTAAATAAAAAAAATCATTTGATTTAATACATAACAGGTTTTGTTGTTGGTATTATCAATTTTTACTTTATTTGTTCGGAAAAAAATAAAGATACTCATAGGAGGTTTCTCTAAGATATCTATAAAAAAAAAATTCCTCTTGACAAATATCAGGTTAACCCAGAACTGGATTTTGGCTTTGGAAGAAAATGCGTAATATTCTACTGCACAGCTAGTTTCAGCCTCGGTTAATAGTTTATATGTTCATCCAATAATGTTTACAGCCAGTGTATTTTAAAATAAGTTTGCATTCCTAATAAATATGTTTTTTTTTTTTCCAAACAGAGAAGTCTGTAACAGAAGGAGAACAAAAGCTGGAATGGGGTACTACCGCAATGACTGAATATTTATTTGCACCCTTCGTACAACCATCAGGAGGTAAAGATTAATAATTTATTTTATTCCAATGAATATATTATTATTGCAATATTTTGTGAGGATATTGTAAAAAGTCATAAGTACATTTTTAATATAGGTTAACTTTTAAAAATGATTTTGTAAAATTCATAGGTCCATGAAAACGGTACGCACCCTTTTATTTATCATATATATTTACACTGACAAATAGAGAGAGGATGCATTCAGTGAGTCACCGATTTCGACTGATTTTTTTCTTTGGTCATACCACATCCATATTAGACACAATAATAACATATTATCACTAAAAAACCTGTTTATTTAACATAATATCATAAGATAATTATTGATTTAGAGTTTAAAATACTACAACACATTTTGGCCCTAAAATGCTTTACAAGACCTTCAAACAAAAAGTTAAATTTTATTTTTAATCAGCTTTGATATGACTGGAACTTTTATTTTATTTTTCAACTTGAACTTTTCCGCAAGGAAATTATGAATTAAATGTTTATAGAAATTTTATTTTTTAAGAAAATTGTACTTAAAATTATACAGTTAAAGCAATTCATTTAAAAAAAAGGGTAAACAACGATAATTGTGCAGTGATTTTACCTTATCATTGTTAATAATAATGATCTGAGCCAAATGCTTAAACAATTACAATAGCCACAATAATTTGGCTACTTCAAATTGATATAAAAAAATCTGGTGTGTCCACTAACAAAACTTTCCTACCTATTTCAGAAAAGCTTTTATACCTTTAAATATGTCCATCAAGAAACAAAACAAAATTGAATTAGATTTATTTTCCTGAAAATTGATCAAAAAAAAGATTTGAGTACGATTTCTTTGATAAATTAAAGCAATGTAAACCGGCTTGTAGTAAATTATTGTAAAAATTTCAATACCCTTATATTGCATCATAAACTTTTTGCCATAGCCTAATTTTGTCACACATTAATTTGTGTTAAAAGTAGAGGAAATATTGAAGCTTGTGTAATGCGGGTAAGAGATTTTCTTACTTTCACTTGGATTTCTTTTTTCTCTTATTCACCCCTTTCTGACACCAGGATATGAACACGTAATCTTACATGTTGAATAGCTGTCACTTCACTTCGTTAATGGATGTCCAAAATTAACGATTTTAATAGAGTTTTGTAGGGAATTTCATTGCCTTTCAAATAAAGAGGCTAAACATGTGTTTTTCGGACTCAGGGGGCTCTGAAAATAGTATATGCTATACCACCGCTAATACTGGTTTGATTCTGATCATTTCTTTATGTTTTGTTGGTAATTTAATTACCTTTCAAAAGTCTTATTTATAAATTTTACAATAGAATATTTTCCTGAATTTTCACGGGAATTTAGTCAATAATAATTTTAATGATGGTCAATAATAAATTAAATTGTGCAAATATTATATACTGAGATAAATCAAGTCCTGCCTAGCAAGCTACTCGATATCTGTTAAGGCCCTACCTAAGCTTATAAATTTAGTAATATGAAACCAATTTATATCATAAGAAAAGTATTTATAATAATTTATAATACATGTTCATTAATTTGTGTTTTCAGACAAAAGAAAACAATGCTCTGATTCATCAAGCGATGATGACAGTGAGGGTGATGAAGAGGAGAAAAAAAATGAGGCAAAATGGCTTCGCACACATAGAGCCAAACGTTCTTCCCAAAAGGAATGCTACGATCCCCAATTAGAAGTATACAAGAATACGTTGCTCAAAGAAATTGAGGTGAAAGAAAAAAAGCTCATAATGATCATTTGGGGGAAGAAAAGAAAACAGAGAATTTTTGTACCCCAGCTTAAGAGGGAACTGAATGTATTAAACAAAATGTATCAGAAGTTGTTCAAGTAATAGTTGTCAATCATGTCTCACAATTGCTTATTTTATTCCGACCAGCTGGTGAATAATTTTTATTTCTTTAAATTATATTTTATTTATTTTGTAAATATTTATATAAATTTTATGAGATTTTTTTTTATTATTTTAAATCATTCTAAGTATTCTAGTTTTTAATCTAAGAACTGAAATGTGTTGCTTTTGTTGAAGAAACCATTTGTATATTATAGATTATGTTTTGACTGATATTTATGAACAATAAATATAGTTATTGATCAATTTAAATATAAAAACATAAAATATGTATTGCTTTTATTTATTTCTAAATTAACCTTCCTTTTGAACAACAGAGGTATACACTTGTAAAGGCCCACCCCAATAATGGATATAAATGATTATTCTTTACAAATTCAATGATAAATAATCTAAGTAGCAACAAACCCTTTTTCTAGATAGTATAGGTCATTATTTACTCTATACAAATAGACCATCTGCATTATTTCTTGCATTTGTGATATTATTTTAGTTTTATGACTGACATTAAAGAAGATAGTTTCTTTAATTATATTTGTGAATTGAAGAGTATTCTTCAAAAAAGATACAGCTCCATTATACAAAATCATTAAGAATTATTATAAATAAATAAACTAACTTGAGATTGCCCTCCACTTGTTATTTTGAAAAATAAATCATCAAAGATTAGACCTAAATCCATATACAATTTTAAAGAACAAACAGATATATTTTAAACTAAATGCTAAAAAACTCATTCATTGTTAATACAAAGTATTTATTATACACTACATCAGGATGGGAGGCGAAACAATATGGAGAAGACCATAGAAAGTCAAATACACAACTGTTTTTATAATTCAATTTTCAATTGCACTATTTTTAACAACAGCAATGAAAGTTTTTAAAAAGAGAGGAAGCCCTCGGGAAGGACAGGCATATCTGTACATATTCTAAATACGTATGTCTACATTTAAACAAAAAAACTAGAACTTTTCATACACAAAAAAAAAAACCAGAATCATTTTAATAACTTTGGACAAAAGAATGACATTCAGTCGAATTTTGGAAGTAAATTTTTAAAATATCAAATTCAAGTTCACAGCTCAATGAGTTTCCTTTTATGTTCCTTCCTGAGGATTTTCCCTCTAAATTTGGCCCGCCAATAAACTTTATAACTTTATGGCATCAGGTATACACCTCTCGTCCCTTACCGGCGACCCTCTACCGATAACAGGAACACTTGTTGGTTTATGGCGGTTCTGAAACCCTTGACCCTCCCAAAGGAAATCCTTCCTAAATGTACAGGACTATATTCTATTGGCCCAATTCTATATTCAACTTATATATATATATATATATATATATATATATATATATATATATATTTTTTCATCTTGTATGTTGAAATAAATAAATGGCAATAATATAGCTTGCTCACAAGAATACAGCAGAAAAAAATATTTCCTTTCCATAAACCTATTGATCTGATGAAGGATTGAACTATTATTGAAATGTTTTTTTTCATTTCGCCTTAAATATAAATTTTATAACTTAACTTTCAAGGTATTTGGAGGAGAATGTTAGTTTGAATTCAGGATCACTTGAGTTCACCCTTGGTCCGCCATATTTTTGTAAAAGAGCTATGATGATTACTTTTATTTACTTATTTTTAATTTCAGATGCTAGCTGCAAATTATAAATTATTCGCTCATATAAATTATCTTAGTTATTATTTGTATGTACATATTGTGTGAATGAATCATGTAGCCTTATTGTATTAATACCCTTTAATGTGGCAGAATGTATTAATATTCAATAAAGAAAGTAAAAAAAAAAGAGTGTTAATAATATTTTGTTTTATAAAAATTCTTCTGGTAAATTAATAAGTAGTTAAATTAAAAATTAGTTAATTCCAATAGTGTGATTTTTCACATTTGTTACCTAAATGAAGTGGTGATTCATGTTCAGAAAATAGACCCAGATGATAATGTAATAAGATTTTGCTGTACCAAAAAATTTGAAATCTTTGGCAAATGAAGAAGAGGCAAATCAACACCAAGGTTGCAGGGATTGATGACGTATCTGCAGGTGAACGATCCATGCTTAGTGTCCAGAACTGGAAGATGGTAGCGCAGAATATGGATGACTGAGGGTCAAATTTTCAAAAGGCCTTGTTTTCGTAAGGGACATAGCACCATATAAGAAGAAGAAGAAATATTAAATAAATAAAATATAATATATACATAAAAAAATTAATTTGTGACAAAAGGGACTTTTTAATTAAATATAAAAAGATTTTTTAAAAAGTTCAATTATCTCACAGTTTTGTCCTTATCTACTATAATAAATAAAAAAGACAATTTTAAATTAAATTTTGTTTTGTAAATAGTTGAGCATGATCTCAGTCAAATCACCTGCTTGCACAACCATTGACTAAGAAACATTACTTCCCCTAAATAGTACTGAATCCAAGACTCTTCATGGGTAGTAGTGATACTGTTTTTTATTTTGTAAATAACAAATATAATTATTGCTGAATATTGTCAATTCATCTATTATGTACGATTTAATTGTTATTATTTATATGAAATAAGTCTTATTTTGTAATAGTGATAAAGTCATAATCCAAAGTGTATTCCAGAAAATTAATTGTAGAGAAAAAACCTTTATATAAGCAAACTGAGATGTTACACCAGCACATATAACTGATCTGAGATATCTGACCAAGTTTAGAACTTGTTTTACACATTTTCAATGCTTATTTGCAATAAGTTTACAATTCGTGTAATACTTATGGAGTGAGGAATTAACAAATGTAAAGTAATTATGAGTAAATAGGATTTGTATTCAATAAACTGTTATAATTGTAATTTTTGTTTTTAAATTTTGCATTTTCTAGTTCCAATTAAAAGCATAAAGTTAATTATCCAATTAAAACAATAAAGTTGTCATTATTTTTTAAGAATTGATTTTTTAGCTATGAGAAATTTTTAAGTAGAATATTCATCATCACTAGACAAATAAACTTTCTTAGAGTTCAAGATCTCTCAGATGGATTGCAGTTGGATGATTAAGAAACTTATTATCATAAGCAAAAATATTGTAAACGATAAGCAAATAATATTATCTTTTTTGTTAAAAAAAATTAAGAACATCATTATATGATTTATAGATAGATAGATTGATAGAAAATTTTATTCTATGACAAAGTCCCTTTAGAATAACAAAATTGTACAAAATGAAAAGACTACTTTATACACAATATAAATACAATTTATATGCTGTATCTTAAAAATATATAAATAAATTCATCAGCTTTACTATTGTAGAAGACCTATTTTGTAAATTAAAAAGTATTAAGGCTCATACACACAGAACGCGATATTTAGCGCGGCGATATAGCGGCAGAGTTGTATTACTATCTATTCTACTATAACGGTCACATAGAGAATGTTACGCCACAGCGATACATGCTGTAGCGCCGGGGCCTTAGTTTCATAAACTAAACATTATTCATTCTATATGTATAATTCATTATTTTGTTTTTATGTATATGAATTTAACTAATGTACTTGTATTCTTTATGTAATAAATATATATTACAAAGGAGAAAAATGTAGTTTAATATAAGTAATTATTTTTGTTTCTTTTAAATGCTGGTTGTAATTTTGTAAAATATATAATAAATAAACTTGTGTAAAAGTTTTATACATTACATCCCAAACTTACCATAAAAAAATCCATAAATTAAGCGATGAGGATGTAGTTAAGTAAAATAATATATATCACTGTAGGAGGAGGGCAACCCGTATGATTAATTTAATTTGATAAACAATTGATAATATATGTAAATAATATAATGTGTTGTGATGTTTTATGGTTATTAAATATAATGTTTTGTAGTTATAAAATATATTGTGTTGATTAGCAAAATCTGTAACTTTCTTTAAGATATTTATTATAGTTAATCAATCTTAACTTAACCCATAATACTAATAAAACGACTAGTAATATCACTATTATTATTTATATTCTTACTACATACTCTATGGTTAACTTACTTTTATTATGTTTTTCTTTTGGTTATTTATTTCTGTCTATACTATACACATATCTCTTGTATATCTGATTTATTTCTATCATAATAAATCCCAAAAGTTTTAATAATAAAAACTGAATTGCGATTATTTGTTTCACTATATAACACAGGCATTATATACAGGCTATCGACTATAATAAAAATATTCAATTCATTAAAATTGAGCAAAAGATAATTTTCAAATACTATTATTAAAATGTTAATATTTTAAATGAAAGTGGGCCAAATTTTAAAAGATCAATTTTCAACAAGACAACCAAGAATAAATTATTTCTCATGAACATGAATAATTAATAGATAGAAAATAACTGCAAACTTTAAAAACAATTTAAGCAAACAGTTTTACTTTGAATTAGATATACATTCAGAAGATATAAATATGCAGTTAATAATACATAACAGAAATGAGCATCAGTGTTTGATTATAAAGAAATAATGGGATAAACTAAAAACAACTCTTCACAGAAACACGTTTATTTGTTTTCTTCTATTATATTTTACCACTTATTAAAAAATATATAACAGTACTATTACATATCCATAATATTTATAAATACTGTTCAATGTTGAAAGCATGCATTCAAAACTCAAAGTGTACACTTATTTACTTATGACACTTATTAGGAAAATACATTTATTTGTTTTCTTCTATTATGTTTTAACATATATTTTAAAATACATAAGCCAACTATTATGTATTCATAAACACTGTTCACTGTTGATACTTAAAGTAGCATTCAAAACTTCACTTCACTCACTACAGGAAGAAAATATTCCACAGAATTTAACTTATAAAACACATAATGAGAGATAATGCAGGTCTGTCGCATTAAGAATTAAATAAACAAACATTTAAACAATATCACAAAGCGAAAGCAAAATTTTTAGTGAACGTTTACAAGTTTAAACTTAGTTTGAATAATAATATTCGTAAATACATGAAGGTAGTAGCACTATCGGACATAGTTATAAAATCTAAAAAGAGAGTAGTACCATCCAATAATGAATAGTTTGAACTATTTCAGAAAGAAAACATTTCATAGAATTTATTTCACGCTATTTTAACTTATTAATATAT